GAGAATTCTCAAAGAATGTTCCTTTTTCCGATGGCGCCAATACTTTCGCTTTTCAAGAGAGAACTTACTTCCTTATTTATCCTAACATCATAAGCCGAATCTGTGTGATTTAGCTACCCGAGTGGATAATCAAAATGGCCGAGAACGAGCGCTGCTATGAAGAGGCCAAACGTCATGCTAATGTGGAATTAGAACGCTGTCGCAATCATATTAGGCAAGAGTTTGAACAGAGGAGGTGCATATATACATGAGGTTGCCTTCCCATTTGCAATCTACATATCATAATTATGTGCTTAGAAAGCGACATGAGGAAAAGTATCGGGCTGAGATGGAAGCATTGCGCCACAAACTCGACAAACGCCTGAGAGACCTTGAAAATGCACAAACAGGGCTTGCCGTTGACAAACTTCGCCGTCTTTCTATGGTAAGTAGATTAAATTTGTTTCAGAGACTACAAATAGAGAAGAATCAAACAAAATTATAACTTCGAAATTATTGGTTAGTAGTTAGGATTGCGATGAAACACGTATCTTGTTACAGCTAACCCAACTTCTATTTAGGATCAGTCCCTACGATCCCGGCAAGAACGCGAAAAGAAGATACACGATATGAGCGAATCCACGCAGGAGGTGTTTAACAAGGAGAGGAAACGTTTCTCTGTTGGGTAGGGCTTCAATATACTATGACTTCGAATTCGGATTCCCTCTCACACTCAAAGCACTACAGGCTTTTTACACACATTATTATCGCCTTTTCATTTTAGTTGGCAAATTTCAATTAACTGCGGCTAAATCCACCCAATAGGAAAAGCGTATCCGCAGATCATATAGAAGAAAGAAGCGGGAAAGACAGACCTCGGCCGCAGGTCTCCGGAGGGCAAGCTGGAATTCGTTTTTGTGAAATAAGCAAATTGGAAGTCGTATGTGGTCCGAAGAAGAGCCTGGAGTTTAATCTCAAATATGACCGCTTTTTCCAATCAAGAATGTTGAAACTTCCCTCTCTCCCCCTTCCCCCTTCCTTCATAGCACGGAAGTTCATGCGTGCGGCTAAAGTATTTCCGTCTTATTCAAAACTTAATTCAAAGTAATTCTATACACACTTGACCGTTCAAAAACCTGCTCCAGCAAAGCTTCAATGTTCGTTCCAATGCGGCCTTTTGCGCGGAAAATCTAAAAGTTTTGAAAATTGTAATACACAGTTTTTTATAAGCAAATGGGCAATGAACAGCCACCAAAATTGGCATAAAGCACAACAAAGAGTAGAAAAAGTGTTTGCAAAATCTTTGAAATATCATGGGAATGAAAAAATTGCCGTACCTTTCTTTGATTTAGGTCTCCGGCGAGACCTGCGGGAGACCTCAGGTCTTCGCTTAGCAAATACTTTTTTGTTTCTCGCTATTATAGCGAACATTTTTTGTGCACCCTTTGCCCAACTTACCGCGCAAAATCCAGATCAAAGCACTTTCTTCTATCCTTGCTAGAGCTCTGAATCTTTTTACCGTGATGAAGAAAGTGCGCTCCAAGTATACAGCAATGCAGTGTTTGTTCTGATGGCACGCGTTTTACAGGTTACAAACGGGCTTCGTAAGTTTCATGGATTTTCGAGCGGGTATTCGTTTCCGTAAGGTTCAATCGGAGATCGTGCTGAGGCCTGGGGAGAGAAGAAATTTCGCGGGTCTCTACTCTTTGAGCCTCCCTTCTTCGGTTTACTTTTAGGTCCTTCTATACTTCCCTCCTCCTCCCTTTCCCGCCACCCTCTATTTTGACTATTGCAAACCGCACTTAACCCTGCTCTTTTTCATATTCTATCCTTTTCCAATCCTCACAACGTGATGCATCGTCGAAGTACGTTGCCTCATCTATTGCTCCAGTGGCCTGCTATCGCTATCCGCCCCCGTTTCAGCCATAGCGAGCGAAAAAAATACTATGTGTATTGTCTAAAGTTCAAAGTTGGATTATTAAGGTTTAGTAGTTAGTAACCAATTTAGATGGTTTGAAAAATACAAGTAGAAATAAATACATCAGTAAAAATAAATACATACAAAACATTGCAGCGCGCTCCGTATAAAAAATATATCTCAGAGTTTCCCTTGCAAAAAAATCTTGATAGTGTTAGTACTTTTGAAAGAAAAAAACAACTTTGATTTTTGTAATAATATAGTTAAATTCTTACGTTTTGAGAACTTTCTCCACTAAAATTACCTACTTTCAGAATCGAGCAAATGCTAGAGCAGAAGCAGATGGAGCATCACGAGATGATGCAAAAATTAACCCAACAAGAGCAAAAAGCACTTCAGCGGCTTGAAGAGATTGTTAGTACCGCACAAGATGGACCTCCACCTCGATCAACGTCAAGGTAGAAAAGATTGGCTTTAGTGATACTCAGCATTTTGAACAGAGTCTGTTCACGTCGATTATTTGTACAAAGTTCCTGTCTGGTAGAATCCGTTTCCAGAATTTTGTAGTCTGTCACA